AATTTGTTGTTTCACCTTTGGTTTGCCAGTGGTTTGAACTGTCAATATCTATGTTCAAAATAGAAGATAATCTATCACTGTGTTTCTCATGATGTTTCTATTATCTGATAAAACTAGTCTCATAAAAAGAACTGGTAGATTGTTCCTATTCTATGTTTTTGGAAGCGATCATGAATAATTGGTATTAATTTCTAATTAAATGTTTGGTAGAAAAATAATTTTAACAGAGGTGGAAAATATCCTTGGGCTCATGTCATCTAGCTTATTATGACATTATCATTAATTTTATAAAAATTAATTTATCCAAACAATAATTTTTTGCATGAAAATCTTTTCATAAGAAAGGAGAAAAAGTTGGTAAATAAGCTTTCCTGTTGCAGCTTACTGTACAGCAATATGTGCTGGCAAGAATCTGAGAGAAACAGGACCTTTCTCTGGATTCTGAGAGTCCCCTTGTGTTTCCATATCGATCCCCAAAAGAGAAGTAAGCAGTGAAAAGATATAGAGACCTTGAGTTAGAGAAACTTTGGCACTTCCTTCCTGAAACTATGAGGCTCTAATGGACTTGTCTGGTTCATTCCTTCTTCCAGTCCTAAAATCATCCAGGAGCCCTGCCTTATTTCACTGGAGAATACTATTTGAAAAAAAGCCAGATGTGAGGCATAGGCTGAAGTTTTCACATCTGTAAAACTGGAGACATAATTTCTCATAGAGTTGTGTGAAATTTAAGGGAAAGACTGCATACATATAACAAAGAGCTTGAAATGCAGGAGGTAGCTGGTGTGTTTTAATTCAGTAAATTAATATTAATGAAATAGACAGAATCCTTTGATTCTTGTGAGCTCCATGCTTAAACGTATCCCAAACCACGTTGATTGGAAAGCAATTTCCTGAAAGCGTTTTGTGTCACAAAGCTCTTTGAATTTGGAGCTCTGTAGTTAAAGCTAGATTAAACAAAGTGGAGATTTTGATACAGCTCATTATCTATGAATGGGCCATTTAATAATTCCTCCAACTGAGGACCAGTGCAGGCCATCATCCTAGGACTGAATGTAGCACGGCTGCATCTCATACTCCTTTGAGAGTAGTTTGCATGAAAATTTCTCATGAATAATCTTAGACTGTGACCTGAGGAATGGAGGGTCATTTTGCCCCTTGAGGGAAGGTTCTTTGGGATTTGTTCCTGTCACAGTAATGTTTCAGTTCCCTCAGGAAAGTACTGTTTTGATTGCTTGTTTACATGTCACTGAGCCCTGGATTGCAGTTAAGGCCTTAGGGAACTTCTCTCCAGAGGAACGTAAATCTATGTAAGTCCCATCTTCTCATGCACTTCAGGCTGCTCACACAGGTTGGTATGACTCACTTTGGGTCTCATGAAAATCCTAACGGCAGCAGAACTGCCTGCATACTTTTATCACAGAGCCTCAGGAAATTTCTTACTATATGAAATCTAAGGCCTTCAGAGACCAAACAGATTTTCTTGTCTTTTCAGACTTCAAAAAGTTCAGTCCTTGAAGGCTGTTCTGAATTAAGATATCATAAGTCCTGCAGGACATAGGTATGTTTGCCCTGACTTTCTTTTAAAGGCACATTCTTCACACTGTAGGTAGAAATAATACACTTAGCTCAGGGAAAGGGTTTTAGGTGTAGGTTTAAAGGATCTGAATTTTATTTTCTCCAAGTTCCTCGGCCACATCTCGTGAGAACAGAGTAACAGGAGATTCCTGTAGGTGATTTTGAGTCATTGTTACCTAGGCAGCCATTGACATAGTCATTGCTGGACGGAATATTGCTACCAACTGATGATAAAGTCTGGGAAATAAGTTTGTATGACTGAATTACAGTTTAATAGAAATAAATTTGTTTGCATTTTGGAATTACCATGAATCACATGATAGCTGGAATTTCTCTTCTTTTATCTTACTTCATGTTCTTGATACAGGGAAACTTCTATGGTTCCAAAGCAAGCACCATTAAAGCTATTACACTAACTCAACTTCTTCTTTTTTTGTTTTTTTGTCTTTTTCCTTTTTATCGGTACCAGGGATCCAACTCACAGCTGCCTGCTTGCAAGGCAGACGCTTATGTTGCTGAGCTAAACCTCCAGCCCCTAACTCAACTTCTGAGACACTAATTCATTCATTTAACAGGCATTTCAGCTTACTATGTGTCTGCCACTATGTGGCCAGTGGATAATAAAGCAAAAAACACTAACAGAGACAATCAGATTCTCTTCTTCCTTCACGGAATTTAGTAATTCTACTGATGATCTCATTTGGATTTCCTCAAAAGAGGCGTGGTGGTTGGAAGTGATTTTTCCAGTCTCTTTAGAAGAATTTTTGATGAAACATTTCTACTTCCAGACATTTGAATGGTTTATTCTCTTTCTATCTTTATAGCAATAAAAACTTTGTAAATCTTAATTTTTTTTCAGTTTAATGTATTTTTGTTAGACATTTTTCAGTGTTGTTTCCTTTTCAGGGCTCCTTGTGATGTTAATCTCAGGTACCTGTGCACTAGAGGGAAAATAACAGCAGAAATGCAGCAGCACCTCAGTTCATGAACGCTTCTATTCATGAGCAGTTTGGTTGGCAAACAGAAGTGTTTGGGGAATTTGGTTTCCAGTTGTGAACTATACATTGGGTCAGGATCATGCCCATGGTCTGCCATCTTTCTTAGAACTGTGGAAGAGCTCGCTTTGTGAACCGAGGTACCACTGTACAGTATTAGGCTTTAGATTCAGGCCCTGTGATGCTTCTGGAATGATGTTAGGCAAATGAAGCCTTTTTTCCACATTCTAACTCCAGAATTCTCCCTGCTGCTCTGAATCTGGACACATTTACCAACAGCAAATGCCTGCATAAAGGGAAAGGGTTGCTCATCGAGAGTACACAAAAGTGTCTTGAATAGTAGTTGTAAGTAGATGAAGAACTGCCAGTCAATGGTGAGAAATCTGGCCCTAAAAAGTATACACATGCACAGTTAAGGAGTTATGTGACTCTTGAGTGATGCTGCCTATGTATGATTAGATTATAGTACATTGTTCCTGCTAAATTAGGGACTATATGAATGTGTCAAAAGATAAAAGAAAAAGGGTGAGAAAGGTTGGATAAAAGTAAGGGAAAATGCTGCTGCTCAGTTGGAAATCTATGAACAAGTGAAAGAGAAAAAGGCTGACAGACATAAAATTCTAGGCCTTTGTTCTATGAGCATGAGAGGGCACTTGAAGCATTGTTTATAGAGGTGAAAACTGGAAATGGAGGTGAGGTTCGAGCAGGGATCTCATACAGCTTTCCACAATGGCTCAGATGGCTCCTGTGAAACCAGCCACGTGGACCAGCTAAGCCACCCGCAGGGCTCCTCACCAGTCCTGTGCGTAGCTGCTCTCCAAGGCAAAGTGAGGCCGAGATGGGTTAAAGCTACTCATTCCTCCAGTGCCTGTTTCTCACTCTCCCCTCTCTCTTCACACTTTTCCTCTCTTCCCTGAGACTGAGCCTGCTCCCACCCACTCTGTTACAGAGCCTGGGAAAGCCTGTGAGCCCTTAGATGGAGGAAAGGCAGGAGGAGGGAGAGAGTGCTCTAAAGTTAGAACATAGCCTTTCTCCCAGCCTGACCACCTGCACACACACTGTTACTGCTGAGTATTTTCCGTGTCATGAATCTAAGCTGATCTATTAGCAGAAAGTGTGGACTCATAAACAGACAACAATAGCTTGCTTGTTGTGTTTGTCATTGGTGTTCTATTCAGGTCACCAAACATTTATTTTTGTGTGCTGGGTGTCCACGGTGGGCAGGTGAGGCAAGAAGGAGAGAAGAAGCTGTCCCAGGAGTCTTACAGCAGGTGAGGTAGCTGGGTGCTTGTCCAGCTAATTGTGTGACAATCAGCCAAACTTCGGGGCTTGGCACATGCAGAGAAGGGAGAACCTAACTGTAACCAGATCACAAATCTATATTTATGTGCTACTGTACTCCTTTTCAGCTGAGCCAAGGAATAAACTTGCAAATACACTAGAAATTGTGATTAAGATTTCTGGCTTGAGTATCAAACAGACCAAATTTTTTATTTTATCTTCAACAGTTTGATGTTATGTGACTCCTGTCAATATTCATTTAACTGTTACTATTTTATAGCTCTCTGGTCTCCACAAAAATGCTCAATTTTAGAAGAAAATAGTACTTAGGAAAAGGAGACTAGGTGTAAAACAGACTGCCAGTGGAGGTGTTACTTACAGTATGAAGAAAAAATATTCTATTCACATGTCTTAAATTATGGAACATGGTGTAGAGAGATAAAGTAAAAACTGGGGAAAAAGAGTAGATATATATACAGTTTTTACTTCTGTAAAATGAGAAAAAGGACAGAATTATTCTCCAAGTGCTGAAGGGAAGATTGTGTTAAATGCAGCTAGAGTCATTGGAGTAGTATCTAGTATACAATATGATATTATGATTTCTTTAATTAACATTATTTATGCATAGAAAATTTCAAGAAATTTTTAGTGAAGTTATATTATCGAAGTAGAATGAAAAAGATAAGGCATGATGGATTCATTTTTTACTTAATAGTTTTAGATGCTTAAAAACTGAGTAAAATCTTAGCAACGATGTTGCTAGGCACATCTACATTATAATACATAATTATATCATATATGCAAGTAGAATCTGTGAGTGTGTGAACTTTGGATTAAAAATACAAGGATCCCCAGTACCAAAAATACAAAGGGATGAACTTTGATTTTGAACTCTAGCAATGAGACAACCTTTTTCAAGATTCGGGTTCTCCAATCTGAACTTTCTCATCTATAAAGCACGCATAAGAGCAACTATCTCGTAGGAGTGAGTGTTCTAATAAAGTGCAGGGGTCTCGCGTGTGTCTTGCATGTGGTACATGAACAGTATATGTTAGTCTCTGGCTTTATACTGTTGCATCTTCCTCTTGTAGTTCCATCTGCTTTTTGTTGTCTTTTTTCTTTAGTTACCAGGTGAGGCGCAAGTTGACACTAATGGAGAACAGCTCGGAAGTGACAGAATTCATTCTCTTGGGTTTAACAGATGACCCCAGGCTGCAGGCACCTCTCCTCCTGGTATTTTTGCTCATCTATCTCATCACCGTGGCTGGGAATGGGGGGATGATAATGATCATCCTCTCAGACCCCCACCTCCACACCCCCATGTACTTCTTCCTCAGTAACCTCTCCTTTGTAGACCTGGGTTACTCTTCAGCTGTGGCTCCCAAAATGGTGGCTGCCTTGCAATCAGGGGACAAGGTCATCTCCTACAATGGGTGTGCCGCTCAGTTTTTCTTCTTCGTGGGGTTTGCCACTGTCGAGTGCTACCTTCTGGCTTCTATGGCTTATGACCGCCACGCAGCAGTGTGTAAACCTCTTCATTACACCACCACCATGATGGCATCAGTGTGCTCCTTCCTGACAGTTGGCTCTTATATCTGTGGCTTCCTCAATGCCTCAATCCACACAGCAGACACCTTCAGACTTTCCTTCTGTGGGTCCAATGAAGTGAATCATTTTTTTTGCGACATGCCCCCACTCCTGGCTCTTGCATGCTCCGACACTCGCATCAGCAAGCTGGTTATGTTCTTCGTCGTGAGCTTTAATGTCTTCTCTACTCTCCTGGTTATCGTCATCTCTTATCTCTTCATAGGCATTGCTGTTCAAAGCATGCGCTCTGCCCAGGGCCGAAAGAAGGCTGTCTCCACCTGTGCCTCCCATCTCACTGCCGTGTCCATCTTCTATGGCACGATCATCTTCATGTACCTGCAGCCTGGCTCTGGGCAGTCCATGGACACTGATAAAATTGCCTCTGTGTTCTACACTGTGGTCATCCCAATGCTCAACCCCCTGATTTACAGCCTGAGGAACAAAGAAGTGAAAAGTGCTCTTTGGAGAACACTCCACAGACTGCGCCCTTAACCTCTGCGTCCTTAATCTTTGAGTAGAAAGTGGGAGAGGATAAACTTTCTTTTGGATCCCAGTGATTCATGACTCTTGCGTTCTGGCAGATTCCCATTGTTTCCATCCCTGAGAATGGTGTTTGTTTCTGCTGTTAGAATTTGTGAAAGCAACACTTTGAAATGTCTCATTTGGGAAAAGACTTTACAAACAACAGCATGGAACACTGTGCTGGCCTGGGTCGTTGATGAGGTTTAAAGCAGATGCTCAAAGCAGAGAGTTGAACGTGCTGAATTTTCTCCTCCCTCTTTTTAAGTGGGAGAAAACTTCCATTTACTATTAAATGAGGTATAAGAGTCACACCTTTATGTTTGATATTTGTCAACTAGAATACATAACATTGTGTTCTGCATTTTTTTGGTTTTTGGCTTTGAAAGTCAGACTTTTTTTTTTTTATAAGTGGTTATTATAGTAGTACATATTTAAGGCTTACCATGTGATACTTTTGTATATAGATGCAATATTTGCGGAATGATGAAATCAGAGAGGTAGTACTTCCATCTCCTTAACATTAGAATGTTTAAACAATGAATGAAAATTCTTTTATGAACACATAATTTTCTCATATTGGCAAAGGACGTTTCAATATTTTTAATCATGTTTCCGTGAAGATTACAATTTCAAGCATAGTGCTCTGGACCAAGACCCAGGCAATGTTGGATTAAATCCCCGCAACTCTCTGCCCCATCCCCTCCCACAGTCTCACTGCACTGACCTACCATGCACCTTTGCGCTCTCTATCTCCTTCTGCTAACGTGCTGGGATAACTTTAGTGGAAAAACAATAAAGCCGTCTTACACACAGAAGAATGGAACTGCTCACAGTTTAACCTGAATTAACATACCTTTCAGTAGGGAGCCTGCCCCCTCTTCTGTACTTTTGGCTCCTTCTAACATAATTACCAGCTTGTAAAAGTTCAGAGAATGGCAGTGATTTTTTTCCGAGGGTTATGAGAGGAGATATTTGTCTTCGGGATTAAATGATTGCATTTTTCAGCACCCTTAAGTTTGGCGAATCTATTATTTTTTCAACAGTTCAGCTCATTTGTGGGTTCTTGTTGAAATCTGATGCTCTGTAATTGGGTGTTATCAGAAATTAAAAAAAAAGATCTGCCAGGAAATTTACTTCTTAAGGTAGGAACAGTGCAGTGACGTACATTGGTAGTCAGCCTACTGGTCTCATTTCCTGTCTGAAACTGTTTATGTGTGGGAAGTGAGTGGTGATGGATTTTGCTGCTTGATGGTGTTTATAGCTACAGTTAATCTAAGGAACCAAGTACAGTTCATGATTTCAAAAACCTCAAAAAATACACAAAAGCAATCAAATTTGTACTTTAAATGTGAAACTAAAAACTTAGTTATCTAAATCAGATAGCTTAGGATATGAATTCAGTTTTGAGTACCATCATGTGTGGGCAGCCTGTGTCTGAGGAGAGTAGATCACAGGTCTTCTAGAGAAAGCAACCCAGAGCGGGTTTTGGAAGAAGAGGCCAACCTGTAGGAAGGGTTTTCCATGGCATATGGCGCCATCACCTGGAAAGATCAGGAGCTGCCGTATTCCAGCCAGGACGGCTTCTCCCTCCCTCATCAACCTCTAGCAGTGCACTGAATGACAGCCTATCCAGGCCAGGATCCACAACACACAGATCTCTGCAACTTCTGAAAAGTGCCAGACTTGACGCGTCTAGCAAGTAGCAACGAGGAAAGATTGTGTGCCAGGTGCCACGTTGCTTTTTCCAATCCATATGGCTTCCTGTTTTCCTTTCTCCTCCTGCCTTTCCCCTTTCCCTTTGTCTCCTCTTTTTCTTCCTTATCTATTCCACCTTTTAAAATTGTGGCCCAGTGAGGATTTTCTCACCACTAAGCCATTAGATCTCTATAGAAGATACAAGTATATTCTGTGTTCATTGTGACTGTTGCAGTGCACAGTAGGTGAGCTCCTGAGTATGTTTCTTTGTGCCCCACACCTCAGTTTAAATGGAAAGTGTGAGTCTTCTAAGCACAGATGAATTCAGGCTTCCATAATTCAATTTTTTGTTGAATTTACCTCTAATAAGTGCCACCTATGACTGCAGGTGGGCAGAGCAAAGAACTAGTTCCAGCAGCATCAGCAGGATGAAAATCCTTACTCTTCCCATCATTTACATGACGTCAAGGAAGTTAGGTCATCTCTTTGGACCCAACAAACAGTCCAGCTTTACAAAGTCACCTTTACAGAGGGTAATCTGAAAAGATCATGTGAAATTTAGTCCATCAACATGTCTGTCACAAGACTGTGTGCTTCACGCAGTTGGAGGTCTCTACTTCTGCTCTCCCTGGCTGACTATGTGTTTCCCACTTTACCTGCTCAGCCCCAGCCTGGTCTCCCCTTCTGTCCCGCTCAAGCCTTTGCTCTCAACTCTGTTTAGCTCTCTGTGCTCACATCTCTCATATCTAGTGTACACATGTTCCAAGTTGATGTTACAGGTATTTGTTTTCAGAAACTACTCTCGTTGTCTGTGAGATGTCAGTGTGTGGAATAGACGTTGCAGTGGGAAACATTTCATTTTCACAGGGAAACTCCATCAGAGATTTACTGCCAACTTTGGTATTAGCCATGCCTACCCTCTTCAGGCCAAATGGCACAGAAAGACTTCTTGCTGGAGGTGTCCAGAGCAGAATGTGAAGGCATGTTTTATTGGGGCCATTATTTCTTTCAGGCAGAATCACTGATCTGAAAGAGGATTATGGTTGAATTAATTTAAATATGAGCCCCCCTTTGTGCATTGGATAATTTGTTTAGCTTTATGTACATGGAATTCAAAATTAAAACATCAGTTTCTTGGCTGAAGCTGGAGTTGCAATCCTGGACTCTTTCATCTTCGAAGTAAAACAGTGTAATCATTATGTGTCAATGAAAAAGAATAGTTGAAAAGAAAACAACACACCTAACTTAAATGAATCTTCTCATTATGTAAATGCAAAACCCAGGTCTTACTCTTGAAGTCACACTCAAAGAGAACCAAATCTTGCTGGAATCCTTTTCATATTTTCTATTCCATACAGGTCTTGATATGTCAAAAGACATTCTTACATCTTTATCCTTATTTTTTCCTCCATAAGATAGCCTTTTATCTCCATCAGATAGTTTTATGGGGGCAGGGGATTTAGCTCAGTGGCATAAGCGCCTGCCTTGCAAGCAGGCAGTAGTGAGTTCGATCCCTGGTACCGATAAAAATCAAAAAGAAGAAAAAAAAAGATAGTTTTTATGGTTGAGGAAACCAAGCTTTAAAAAATTAGCTTACAGCCTACTGTTAAAAAGAGAAGCAAAGAATTCTACCTGAGTCTTTGCCCTTCTTGCTCCAGTGCCCTGAGAGGACAGCAAGCAGCCTTGTACTTTGGTAGATTTCAGGGGGGATCCGATGTGCTGTACAAATAACTTCCAGAGATTATTCCTGTTGAGTCCCCTTGTCCGGCAGGCAGTCTGGAAAACACAATAAATGCAAGACTCTCAGAGCTAATTCCTACTTGAACAAAGTAAAATCTCCCCCATGTATTTTGACTGATGTAATAAACTTGGAGATTAATGACTTACCAGTGCCCAAGAACTTTGCCAGTAGGGATTTTTTCCAGGACTCTACAGAAAATGAATGGGCCGGGGCATATATTCTTTCAGTCTTGACAGTTGGAGTCAGAGTTGACATCTTCAGTGGTGCAGCACAGGAAGATAACCTAAGCCCAGCCTGACCACTGGCTCAAACTGCAGGGAAGGTGTGGTGTGAGGTGTGGGAAGGAGCCAGGTGGTGAGAGACATCTTTCCCTCTTCAGGAGCAGTTTACAAAAACTCAATGGAGCAGGGTACACACTGCTAGGGATAAGATAATTCAAGGTCTTTGTGTCCACTATCAAATGCAGAAAGTAACAGTGAAACCGAGTAGGGATAAGAAACGTGTTAACAGAGAAGGCTCCCAGGAGGAGGTGGGGCTTAAGCCAGACATAAAGGGATAAAGTGGAAAGACCTTGGAATTCCAATCTACTAGACTCCTCTGTGAGACTGGCCTAAGCCTCTTATCTCTGAGCCAATTTCCTCTTCATCCAAGGGGAAAAGATAGCCCAGGCATACTCTCATCAAGGCTGTTCTGAATGTCAAATGGAATAAGGGGGTTTGTGTGTGCATTTTCAAAGTTGCTACCCTCTTTCTGCCTGTGGTAGAGCAGTTGGCAATGAAGTTATAAGCACAGGTGAGGAGGAGTTCTTAACTGGTGACCTGAACCCAAGTACAGAGATGGATTGCCCGTGGCATGTTGGGAGGAGTTTGTAAGAAAGTAGATAATCCGGATACTTCAGTGTGGATACACATGTGGGTGGAGATAGAAAGAATATATCTTCACTTTCTCTCTCTATTTCTCTTTCTTTCTCTTGACAGAAATGGAGAGACAGAAGCAGGGAGAGAGAGAGAGCAAGAGAGAGAGAGAGAGCGAGAGAGAGAGAGAGAGAGAGAGAGAGAGAGAGAGAGAGAGAGAGACAGAGACAGAGAAACAGAGACAGTAAGAGAGACACACAGAGAGAAAAGTTTTCTATAGACCCATGAGAAAAAGACAGACATTCAAATAGACCAGGATAAAATTTAATTATTCTATTTTTTCACATTCATGTGCTGGTTTATTTTCACTTTGGAGTAGCAATGGACAATGAAGCTGTGAACATTTTAATTTTGTATCTTGGGGCCCCTGCACATTTAGTTCCTTGAAGCATATATACCTGGAAGGGGGACTGCTGAAACATAGGGTTTACACATTTTTAAGTTTACTAAATAGTTCGACACTGTTTTCCAAAGCTGTTTTACCTATTTACACATCAGCAAAAATGTCACAGTTCTATGAACACTTAAAGGGTTTTAAAATTTTGCCAATTTAGTAAAAAGATATTGTGTTTTACTGTCTTAATTTGCATTTCTTTGATTGCTGAGGGAGTTCAGCAAATCTTTGTTTTCTTCTTTTAAGTATTGTGTGAAAATAAAGCAAATCACAAATGGATGCAACAGAGTGTACACAAACAGATATATGGGAGCTTTTGTTCTATTTATGGTTTGAGTTGTGACTGTACTGGTGCTAAATGGAACCTAGATATTTTATGCAACCTTTTTTTATACTGAATATTTATATGTATGCATATATGTTCATTTCAAATATACATACCACAATAAAAGGTATTTATCTTGGTTACTTCTCTCTCATTGTTGAGATAAAATACTCAACACCCAAAATGAAGGAAGGAAAGGTTTGTTTAGCTCATAGTTTGTGGAGGTTTCAGTCCATACTCAGCAGGCTCCAAGGCAGGGTAGCATGGCCCTGAGGCAACACTTCAAGGCAGCAGCCAGAAAAAGCAGTCAGAGCAAAAGGGGCAGAGCAAGCCTCTTTTCCTCCCTTATATTTTATGCAGGCCACCCCTTACGCCCAGGGCTGGTGTGGCACAAAATCTCTTGCCCTTCTCTTGCACAAGATGAGGAAATGTACAAAGTAAGAACCCTGGCTGGCTGCTGAGTTTCTTAGTTAAACTTCTTAACTTCTCAAATTGGCACAATGTATCAACCATAACAACAATTTAAGAAGTTAAACCAAATATAGCTTCTATATGTAAAGCATTTATATAAATCTCTGCTATTATATTCCATAACAGAAATGCTTTAAAAAGCATACCCAGAAGAGTTTCTGTATTCTAGTATTCCAGTTTATGGTATAATCTGAAGGGAGGTGAGACCTATATATAAGTAACTTTACTTTTATGTAGCAAATGGTAAAGGCTAAAACTGGGGGAACACATAAAATGGTAAATAGAAGAAGCATAGATGATAGGGTGGGGAACTGAAAAAGATATTTATTTCAGCCAAAACTGATACATACCATAAAGCCAGGGGTGGAGGATGATGAAGATATATTCGGTAAAGAGCATTATGTAAAATTTGTGAAGAGAAGTAACAGAAGTAAGTTTAAAATGGTATGCTGGTGACCAATGGTGGCAGGTATTTTCTTTTTCTTTTTCAGATTAAAGTTTCCATGTTTAAATTACATAGTTAAACTAAGAAAATTATAATATCAGTCAGATAGCTGTCAGAGCCAAAGACAGAGTAACTACTGCAGAGGAATACTGAGAACAGTTGTGCTTACAGATTTGCGTGTAATCCTTGCGCAGGGTTCCTGCTAATCTTCTCTGTATGGTTCCAATTTTAGTGCATGTGCTGCCGAAGTGAGCACTAGCATGGCTGTGCTTACACACCTTGGGTGAAATGCTTTCTGCAGGGAAATTGTTCAGCATTTATTGAGTCAGTGGATAACCTTGCAAAAATTTACTTCAGCGCCCACCACAGCAGTCCTTGTTCATCATTTCCTGCATCCAGAATCCATTTTTCTTCTTGGAAACATTCTGACTTCCTTGGAGAGTGATTCATCCCCGCTGAGCCAGTGAGAGTTGAGTTGCAGGTTTGCTCAAGTCAGTGGAAAGGTGAACTTTCTTTCCCTGCCCCTTGGAGACAACCACTGTGTAGAGAAGCGCAGGGAGGAACAGAGGCAGGTCCAAATCAAATTCAGGCAGTGAAGGTTCTCGCTCCCCTCTCTGAATCCCAGAGAGAGCAATGTCTCAGAGTAGGAGACCTGGAGGTTCCTGGTGGCAGTGGTTAGAGACCAAGGGTACTCTCTGGGTGGGAGGGAGACAGTTGCTTTTCTTCTGAATTTTGTGCCTTGCTCCCATTAAATGTTTCTGGTTTCCAACTCTTGGTGTTTCCCTTTGATTCTATGACCTTTACTATCCTCTCAGTTCCCTCACCTCTTTCCTTGCAGTTAATCTGAGTTGGAGTCAGTAACAAAGCATAACTGATACCACCATTATGTGAGAGAGTCTTTTCCAAAGACTGCATGAAGAGAGGATACCGACTGCAAGATGTTGATAAAAGAAAAAAGAAAGAAAACAGCAGAAATGCAAATGTTAGAGAGGGGCAAACCCTTCAGTAATTCAGGAGTGGTCTATCAACATAAGCAGCAGCTCAGCAGGAAAGTGAGTGATGTAGAGAGAGCATCACTGCGACATTTAACTTAGCAGCAAATGAAGTAATTATCAAGGCACCTGTTTGTGATCATGCTTTTCTTGCTAACCATGCTAATAAAGACCTCAACTGATCGGTGCGTACAGACGAGAGAGACATGACGGCCATCCTCGTTCCACAGGACACGTTATTGGCAGGCTGAGGTCTGTGGAGGAAAGGTGGCACCTCACAGCCCCCTGTCCAGGAAGCGGCTGGACCAGTCTTTGCACCTTGTTCCTGCCTTGTCTCCTACTGCTACCCTGGCCAGTGACCACAGACTGCTTTGTGCCTGTGACCACTCCTTCCACGTGCTTCTCCCTTGCTGTTTCTGTGGAGTTGCCATTTGTCCTTGTGAGCACGTTGCTGATTCTCTGTACATATAACTTACTCTTAGAGTGACACCGTGAGGCCAGCACTGCAGAGCAAGTCATCTGCAGGGGCCAGAGCGTTGTCCTTCAAGTAAACTGTAGAGATCTTCCTTCTGCAGCCCTGCCCATTCACTCCTCACGTTTCCCTTCTTGTCTCCTGTGAAGACATGGGGTGAGTCCTGGACCCCACTCCTTTCAGGCACTGCATTCAAATAACACCATTTGTCTTATTCAGGATTGAACCTGAAATTGCTTATAATCTTCAGAAAGAAAATCTTACATCTCCAGGATTTGGAAGCAGGCAGAAAGCAGTGAGTGTACCTGAGGTCATTGTCCGCAAGGACCTCATTTCCTGCAGATGGGAGACTCCTCAGAGCTGAGCTCTTCACACAGACCTCCTAGGGTTCCCCTGTGCAGTGAACACTGGGAGGCTTCCTGGCCTTTGTTACTCCCTCAGCTAGTCTGCTAACCTTTAGATTAATTATCCTAGTTTTACAGTTGGTAAAATCAAGGCTCAGAGATGGAAATCACTGAATGGAGATCAAACAGTTGGAGAACTATCACAAACTCTTACTGGCTGGAGACCTGCCTCCTGCCATTTGTGAATCAAACTTCCCATCTTATACACGGTGGAGGTAAGGTCCAGAAACACAAGTGCTAAGTGGTAGAAGGAAGCTTCCTTTCCAGCCTTGCAGGCTCTGTTTTTCTCTGCCTCCTCTACCATCTCCTGGCTTTCCTATGAAGAAAGCGAGACAACAATGCACAAAAGAAATGATTAAAAAGAGTTTGCCTGGCTGTCCCGTGTTGCATTGTTAGAGCAACAGCATTGGACTGTATTCCAGACTTTCTATTCCCCTCTCCACAGTCGCAGCCAGTGCACCTGCTTTGCAGGACCAGAATCTGTAGGACTCCACTGCTGTTTCCAAACACAGTTGGTGGAACGGCATTCTCACTTAGATCACAAAACTCCTAGCTGCGCCTGAGACTGAAAATGTGGGGCACCCCGCCACGTGACCGTATTTCATAACGTGGAGCTAAACATAGCTCTCAGCTTGCTCGGCCTGCGTATAACATTAAAATCTCACATGCAAATTCACTCACTTCTTGGATTAATGTGAAGGTTAAGGCTTTCAGACAGGCTTCTTTCTTCCACTTCTATCTCTCCCAGCAGGAAGTGGATTATTCTCCAACCCATTATTTCCTACGCAAATAAGTGAACTCTATTTTCAGAGAGGAGTTTTAGGACTTTGCGCTCTCTGCTCCAGCTGCAGGATTTGTGTGGAAGGCAGGAAGGCAGCAGGCTTCACACCTGGCCATGGAGTGAGGCCGTGGACCCCTGGGAAGATGTGAAACCTGCCTTCATGCTCTCATTTGTGAAATGCAGGGGAATCATCCCAGTTTTATGCAAGTGTTATGAGGATCACACAAAATAATGGCCAGTGTTTTGTGTTATACACACACACACACACACACACACACACACACACAGCACAGATAGTGTAATTGAAAGCAAAAATCAACAACTATGAAAAAGTCACCACCACCTAACATGAACAATTTGTCTTGCTTGGCCTGTGATTCTTCTGGCTGTGGCAGCTGGTAATGTCAAGTCCTTAGACACCCTTACTCTGGACAAATCAGACTAGTTGGTTAATTATTCACTATGCTTGAAACAAACAAGAGTTCTCAATTATTCGTTTGTTCAAGAAATATTTACTTATCACTAATACATTCCATGCAGTTGGGAGATATTCTAAAGGTAAATGTGACAAAAATGTGACCTGGCAGAGTACTCCAGTGCCCGAGTGAGAAACAAGAAAAGGAACAGATTATATGTGGTTGGCAGCAAATGTTCAAAGGGCGGGAGTGACTTTAAGATGCATTGCTTTTTGGGGAGGGGACACATCGAGTTCATGGCTTACGTGCCTTTGGCTAGTACTGGATTTTCCCAAGCACTGATGTCATGGGAGTGAGTAGAGATGCACAGGAAAAAGAGTGTCTCTCAGCAAGTGAATCACACAGCTCAGTGACTTTTCTTTTCTTTCTTTCTTTTTTTTTTGTCTTTTTCATTTTTATCGGTACCAGGGATCAAACTCACGACTGCCTGCTTGCAAGGCAGGCACTTATGCCGCTGAGCTAAATCCCCAGCCCCTCACTGACTTTTCAGCTGCACTCTTCTCTGTCTCCTTGGTAGATCAGCAAACACACGATGCTCCAGGATGAGGATGTGTTAAACTCTGTATTATTTTTAAACTTCAAAACATTTTTGACAATGCAGAATTCTTCTGGGGACTCAAAATGGTACCAAAGTTCCATGGAACTTTCACAGGAAGAAAATTTAAGTGGTACCTTAACTACTGCCATTGCACACCAAGGCTTAGACCAGGGAGAAAGACAATAATCCAAAACTTCTCATAAATAGGGTCCTGAGAGCTAAGCTCTCTGCACCTCTTCAGGGCTCCCAAGCCTCCTCCAGAATTGGACTGACACACAGACACACAGGGAAGCATAGGCGTTAGTCCAGCTGTGTGAACTGGGCTGGGCGTGTTCTGAGACATTAAGTCTTCATAGGGATGGAATGAAAATCTTCTTTGCTAAGTGGATTTTGAGCCTTTGTGTCAGCAGAGATGGAAAACATCTGCCAACACTGAAATAAATCCTGACTGGAGAGTGAAGTGTGGGGCTGAGGCTGAGCACGGACAGAGGTATCTTAGGATGCACAAAAGTACCAGTGAGATGAAAGGTCACCCGCCGCTTTCCTACACTGAGTGCTCCCCAGTACCTGGGTGATCTTCAAGCCAAGCAGTTTGGGCTGTGATTTAGGAAGCCAGACTTCGTGAGTTTGGATGCTATGTTTTATGTTATCATTTCCTGGTTGATGCAATCCTGGAGACACTGTTACATTCTATCTAAGTCTTATAATTCCTGTATGGAGAGTGGCAATCCTTATCCTATCTTTTTCACGAGGTTTATGGAAGTTAGGTGGCAAAGCTGTGATTGCTGAAGCCTCACTGCTAATTCATAGCAGCGTTCAGCTCGCACTAGTGAAGATCGTTAGTATTATTAGTGTGGGGGGTGGTCGCGATCACTTTTGTTCCCCTGAAGAGGTAAAGGAGTGGTTCACCCTATCAACGCCACATTTACCTTGGAATAGCCCTGGCTCATTCCTGAGGAGGAACGAGAAAGCGGTGGTGGGTAGTTTAGCATTATTTTTTATATTCATATGAAATGTTGGATAAAAAAGTAGTGTCCGTGGGTGGTTTCAAAATTATTTTTGTCTGAGTCATCACTTATGTATGTGGGTGAAATTTATATATTTTTGAATTGTACATTTATCTGTTTGAATCACACCTGGGCTTGTGTGAGTTCCTTCTTTGCCTCAGCTGAGCTGTACGTGTGTATGTGGAGGGGCACTGGGGTCTGAACCCTGGGCTTTCGCACTGAGTTACATCTCTAATTCTTTTTTTCTTTTTCTTTTATTTTTAGACAAGTTCTTACTGAGTCGCTAAGTTGGTCAAGCTGGGCTTGAACTTGCAATCCTCCTGTCTCTGCTTCCCAGAGTGCTAGAATTACAGGCATGCACTATCACACCCAGCCAGAGACAAGAGATACACAACCTGAAGGCTCTATTTTCTTACTTAGAAGATATTTTTCTGGTTTCAGGACAGCTAAAATCATTCCTTCCAGTCTCTCTGTCTGTCTGATCTATATAACTGCAGGCTTGCGTGTGTGCATGCATACATGCGTGTGTGTGTGTGTGTGTGTGTGTGTGTGTGTGTGTGTGTGTGTGCATAAGAGAGAAAATGAC